CTTTTTCTTCCCGCTGTGGACCAAATCCACAGATTTATATCGATAGTTGCCTATCGGGACCGTGTGTGGACTGAGAGAACACCTGATACCCAGCTCAGGAATATATGTTCAACAATTATTCCTGAAGTGAATGATTCAAGATGCAGGCAAAAACTGTGCGCAAAACATAAAAGAGAGATGCAAATTATTCTTTTTTGTTGTGCAAAAATATATGCCGCCACCGACACAATCACTTGGCTCTGTTTACAAAACACAGCTGATTCATCAACCCTGTTTTAGCTATGTTCCAAGCCCTCATGGAATAACTAGTAAATTCCTGGCAGGAATTTTCTGCGATGCTGGAGATAGATAGGCCTTAAGATAGACGCATTAATTAGGCGTCGTTTACGGTATCGTTTGTAAGAATCGATGGATAAACGGCCAAGTTGCAGCCGCTTAAGCCTAGTACTCAGATCCAAAAACTGTTTGCTAGCAAACAAATGTCATATATTCTTCCAGCGGCCAGTTGTGTAACCAGAGGTGTGCACTGCATTCCGAACGGTTACTCTGCTCAGACAGCTGCTTGGTTTTGTTTAAAGTTAATAAACAGCACTTCTTCGGCTGGGGTCGCTCTTCCCCAGGCATATACTGGGCCTTCCAATATTTTATTGGCAAGGTAATGTGTCTGACTATCAGCAGCAGCAGATGGCCTCCCGACGCATCCCGTGCCGACCACCGTGAAGACAAAATGTTTTGAAAACAATATTTTGTTTATATATATGAAAATTAATAAAAATAATAAATTATAATATCCATATAATTTTCATTCATATAATACTTCATTAATTAGATTCTATTTGTCTTCATTACTTAAATATTTAATGTGGTTTTTTTCTTCTCATATTGCAATGTTGGCCTCGTGTTTGCTGACAAAATATATTAAATTGATATAACTTTCGAGGGGGGTAGAAACAACCCAGCAATACAAGCAAATACTTCGGATACTTTTCTAGAATATACCGAACTTTTTTTGTTGATCAGAGTACTGCCTTCCGTACAGAGCTTAGAAAACAGTTTTGTCCCGAAAAAATTTCTTATCGGTTTCATAAGAATGTCAACCCTGAATCTGTTCGCGAGGTGTTTTTTCAGATCAAATTCCCCGAAATCAAGTTACTCAAAAGGGAGTATTCCAGAACATTCTTTGGTCCTTCGAGCCGGATTCTTGTACAGTTTTGGTGTGCTTTGGATTAATTTGGATAATTGTTAACAATGGAACAATTAAGGGCATTGGTAAAGACCCGTGGCAGACTCAAGGCCATTATCACACGCGCTTTGGCTTGGGTTGAACGGTCTGAATCAACTTCAGCGACAGACGGATAGAGCTGCTCCAAACTGTTTGGAAGGAGTTCTCACAACTTGGGGATTCCATAGCCCTTCTCGAACAAGTGGATGGGTATGTGGATCCAGAGGAAGACAGTATTCTCTACGAGGAGAAATATCTAAAGGCACATGCTATTCTTTTGGAGAGGAGTTTCTACAAGCAACTATAACTACAACAAACATCGGGGATGGCAGCAATGGTCTTCATCTACGAAACGACGCAGTATTCAGTCTGCTACAACAACAGCTATTCGAGCAGTTAGCTGCAAACCAGAACACAACGAACATGTCCGTGCATGCTTATGGTGACGGCGAAGTTAGAAGGCAAAACATCGACGCATCGGCACTCAAGGTGTTCAATGATCTACAATTGGCTGACACAAGCTTCTGCACAAACGCACCGATAGAAATTTTATTGGGTAGCGAACGAATAGTCTTCACTTACAGGAAGGAAGATGTATGACAGCAAGAGCAATCTTATCGCCATTTCATCGGTTTGATACATACTCGGATGTATCACGTCACTCATGACACCCCAAATACGCAACGCAATTACACTTACAACAACCTTTGATATAAAATCGGCATTTTTGGAGCTGGAGAGCGTCGACTGTACTACTAAGCTGGAACCCGAAGATGAACAGGTCGAGAAACACTTTCTCGCCACACACACTCGAGATGAAAAGGGGCAGTACATCGTGGAGCTTCCATTCAACACTGCACATCCTGACTTTGGAGACTCTCTTCAAGGAGCTATCAACCGTTTCAAATCGGTTGAACGGCGCTTACAACACAATGAGCCGCTACGAATCCAATACATCAATTTCATGAGAGAATATCAACACATGCGAGAACTGCCGTCAAACGAAATCACTGCTGGGCAGCATTTCTACATGCCACACCACCCTGTGTTGGGTCGAAAACTCCGTGTAGTTTTTGATGGTACATTTCGCGACGCCAATGGAAAGGCCTTGAACGACACTCTTTTTATAGGACTCCAGCATCCAACGCGATCTGTTTGCTATGTGCCTCCACTTCAGAATGTACAAATTCCTATTCTCAGCTGACATTATGAAAATGTTCCGCCAAATATGGGTCAGCAGCAAGCATCGAGACTTTCAGAGGATTATTTGGAGAGAAGATCCATCGGAACAAATCAAGAATTTCCAACTTTGTACTGTCACATACGGAACCTCATGTGCACCATTCCTAGCAGTTCGTGTATTGGAACAACTGGCTTCGGATCATCGGCACGAATTCCCGAATGCTGCGAAAATCCTATTGGAGGATTTCTACGTTGACGACGTTCTTACTGGAGCAAGCAGTGAGTATGAACTACTACAAAATCGAAACTAATGTCTGGCGTCAACTTAAAGTTCGGAAAATGGGTATCAAATACCAACTCCATAACAGAGGACTCCGATTCCTCTACCCAACTTACTCAACCGTCACCAGTAAAGGTCCTGGAAAGGACACTTTAACGTACAATGTGGGTTTATCTGCAAATCCCAGCTGCACAAAACGACAAGTCTCCAAACAAACTGGCAGATAATTGACTGAAGTGGCGAGCAGATCTCGACACTTTGCAGCAGTTTCAGCTGCCACGCTTGGTTGTCAACGACGCAGACAACATCGAGTTGCACGGATTCTCCGATGCTTCAATCAAGGCATACGCTGCTGTAGTGTACAGCAGAGTAATACACGACGATGGCTCTATTTTCGTATCGATAGTAGCTGCAAAGACAAGGGTGGCCCCACCCAAGCAACAATCTTTGCCACGCCTGGAACTTTGCGGAGCGCTTTTACTGAGCCACTGATAGGCTTAATTAAGTCTGCATTACGATAGAGAAACACCACTGTCTTTGCATGGTGCCATTCTACAATTGTTCTATCATGGCTATCATATGCACCAGCCCAGCCGAAAAAATTTGTTGGGAACCGCACTTCGGAAATTCTGGACTCCATCCCACGCCATGCTTGGCGTCATGTGGACTCTACAACAAACCCAGCTGACTGTGCGTCCAGAGGCCTCATGGCTGCCGAGCTTTTGGACTTTCAGTTGTGGTGGACTGGTCTCTTGTAGCTGCGGGACAGAGATCATTCATGGTAAAGTTGAACAACTCAAGGTATTACTTATCTCTTTCAAGAAATGACATACAAAAGGAAGTCAAAACCAATTGCTTGTCCACATTGGCCGAATCACAATCGGTAAATCCGCTGGAGGAACTAATAGCCCGAGTTTCTTCCTGGCTGAACCTCGTCCACGTTGTTGGCTATGTTGTTCGATTCATCCAACGCACAAAGCAACCATCTCGGGACAGACGCTCCAAATCTCTTAAATTTGAGGAGCTCCAGACGGCACGCATTATGTGTTTGCGACAAACACAAACTTGCTTCAAAGACGACTACCAACTTTGTAACGAACCATGGATCCCATGGATCCCATGGATCCCATGGTTCGTCACAAGCAGACGACGCAGCCAATCCTACTCCCAGGTGAAGCGATCAACACCCAGCAAAAATGCAAGCTCAGCACACGCCAGAACACAGGAGAGCAGCACAAGGGGCTTACGCAATAAGTACCTAAAATAATATTAAATAAATAAATATTCCTAACAATATATATTCCGGAAGTGCCAACGAAATTCCTTTCCCACGGTACCGGTGCACACCGATCACCTTACCTGGGACATTGGACACTTCTTAAGAGGCGACCTAAGCAGGTAACCCTCGGTTACCGGGCAAACTCCTCACATGCGCGAGCCAGTCAGCAGTCTCCGACTTTCCTTACCGGGAATATTGGACACTGACTGCAGGGCTAATGATTAGGTAACCTTCTGTTACCGATCAGCCCGTCTGCACGTGCAGACTATAATTCGGCAAACCCTTCACATGCGCAAGCCAGTCAGCAGTCTCCAAATTTCCTTACCGGGAATATTGGACACTGACTGCAGGGCTAATGATTAGGTAACCTTCTGTTACCGATCAGCCCGTCTGCACGCGCAGACTATAATTCGGCAATATATATTTATGTAAGAACCCTTCCCACATTCTGAAGTAGAAATAAGATTTCTGTAAGACATTCATGGGAAAATCGAAGGCCGGCCGATCTATAAAAGGCACTGCCTTGCATGAAGAGAAGGCAGTCAATCAGCCATCGCAGGCAGGCAGTCCACCAGCCGTAGCAGTCAGGCAAATAACAAACACGCAAGTCAAAACACCATACGCGTCGTAGAACAAATAAAAATAACATAATACATAACATAACCGAGTAGCATAATAATACGGAAGAATAAAGATATCTTTTAAAAGTAAAGTAACCAAGAGTGTTGTGATTTCGCTAACCCATTTTCAGTTGCTGGCAAAGTTCCTGGTTTCCCCAAATTATAAATAGCTTGTAATTCAGGACCCTGGACAGACTGAAGCATACCTCAGCCTGAGATAGGACATTACAACTCCTACTTGCCAAGAAACCATTACGGAGGCGATCTCAACTGGTGAAACTTTCATCAATCATTGGACAATGTACTCAGGGTTGGCGGACGATTGCATCACTCGCAATTGCCCACAGAAGCAAAACACCCAGTTTTGCTGCCAAAAGATCATCGCGTCACAAAACTCATTTTGAAACTGATGGCTGAATGGCTGATCTACCCAGCATTCGTATAACGCAGGCACTGCCATTTGTCAACACCGGTTGCGACTATGCTGGGCCAATCCTTCTCAAGGATGGCAAGGGTCGCAAGCCACGCATCAGTAAGGGCTACATATGCCTATTTGTTTGCCTAGTCACGTCAGCAATACACTTGGAACTTGCCACTGATCTCACAACTGAAACGTTCCTGGCTGCGCTGCGGCGCTTTATATCTCTACGTGGCTGGTGCAGCAAAATCTACAGCGACAACGGCACAAATTTCATCGGTGCAAAACACTCACTCGATGAAATGCAAACCCTACTGCAGTCACAGCAACACACCAATCTGATCACCCTTACCTTGGCGGATGATGGCATCCAATGGGTATTCATTCCACCACGTGCGCCTCACTGGGGTGGAAAGTGGGAATCGGCAGTTCGATCTGTTAAACTGCATTTTCGGCGAGTCATCGGAAGCTCAAAGCTTACATTTTAGCAGATGCATACCCTACTTGCTCAAGTCAGCGCAGTGGTCAACTCACGACTTCTATGCTACACACCGGATACTGAGGTCAACTATCTATCGCCAGGTCGAAATTTTGACATACACTTGTAGCAGTGTGATATTACATGAGTCTGGACACCAAATTTGGTTTCTCTATCTCTTATAGTCTCTGAGATTTAGGCGCTCTTCGAGACGGACGGACGAACAGAGTGACATTTCTTCATTCTGGCTATAATTATGATCCGATCTGATTCAGATTCTGCAATCTGTTAGATATTGTCATTGTCTACGATACTGCGTTTTTAGTTTTATGATAGTTTTTTGCTGAGACTGCATCGCGGAAGGTGTTGGCTGCAGTTGGGAATTGGGTTTAGGATTGATTTTGCTAACTCGACCTGGCGGAGGGTGCTTGCTGAATTTGGGCCGGTAAGTCGATAATTTTATGCTAGCTTGACTTATTGTGAAATAACGGCCGTCGATTGCGAAATGTCTCAAGAGGTGGGGTGTTTTAAATTGTTGTGTGGACAAGAACGTGTAGAGTTGTTGATCGAGAGTTCTTAATTAATTGTGTGCGTTGCTTAAGACTATTTTATTTCCCGGAGTTGCTGACACACCGCTATTTGTGGAGAACCGTGGCTAGAGCTCTGTGTATATCAGTTTGGTTAATGTCTCCCGCCAGCGTGGATGCGCTGACCCTCCGCCGTTTGTGACGAGACATGGCTGGAACCATGGTTCGTTAAACCCCCCCCCCCTTCCCTTTTTTTTCCGGGTGGGTGATGGAGAGATTTGTGGCGTTATTTGGCGGGTGTTGAGGTTCGCCTTTTTACCGGGTTATCCTGTCCTTTGGCTTGTGCCGAGTCTTTGGATTCGTCGGTGTTAATCTAGTCACTTTAGCGTGGCGTCGGTAACGTTATATTTTCTACTGCTGCTGTGATCGTGGCCTTTCTGCCGTTCTGGTGCTTTGTAGTTGGTTTTTGCTTGGTGGGTCGCTTATCCCATATGACGATGGTTTTCTCGGCAGCTTTCTTTGGTAGTTCTTTGTCAAGGCATTCTTGGATCGGCGGTGCTATGTCGGGTGGCCAAGGATCCGTGGGCAGTTCTGGATCGTCTTCGGTGGGTTCGGTGGCTCCGGGGTCAAAGGTTTGATTCGGGTTTTTCGGAAGAATGGGTTTGTTAAATGTGCTTGACGGTTCGATGCTCCGGTGGTAATCGCTTATGTGGGCGATGATCGGGGAGGAGTTGGACGTGGGTAGAGTAGTTTTGTAGCTCTGGTGGAACACTTGGGTGGTATTGTCTCCAGACTGGTGCATGAACTGGCTGGTCTCGACGATGTCTCTTTTGTTGGACCAATGGCTTGTTTGGGCGACGGATGCTTGGGTCTGCGGGGCCAAGTCCGGCGGCCACGGCTCCGGGACTGGTTCGGGCTCATTTTCGGTTGGATCGGCTGCTTCGGAGTGAAATGGCTGGCTGGGGTCTTTGGGTAAGAGGGTTGTGTCGAAGGCGCTGTGCGTTTCGATCCTCCGTTGGTAGTCGCTTATGTGGGCGACCATGGGTACGAGATTTTGGTATGCCGGGTGTAGTACTCGTGTTATACTACATCCAGACTGGTACGTGAACAGGTGAGTCGCGATGACGCCTCTGGTATCGGAGCAACGACTTGTGTGGGCGACGAAGATCTCGGACATTGCTCTAGGCATGGCTCGTTGCATGGCGCTAAGAATCATGTCGGTACGCGGAAGGTACTCCAGTATGTTGGCGAGGATCGGGGTGGCGTCGGCCATGGGTACGACAGGGCGGTGGTCTGTGCATCGTGGGGGCATTGTCCTAGTTTCCGGGCCCGCGTTGAGGGGCTCTGTGGATATCAGTTCGATTATGGGCCCCGACCAGCGTGGGGTTAGCGTGGCTGTTTCCCGTGTTGCTGGGCTGTCAGATGGTGGTTGCCGTTGTCCTTTTTCGATGCTGATGGTCGGTTTCGAGGGTGTCCGTGCGTTCAACTCTTCCGTTGTGGATTCTGTGCGTGCTTGCTCTGTTGCTTGTTTTGGACCTGGGCTTCCTGTGTCGAGCGCCGGGTTCAAGTGTGTTTGTCTCGTGTGTGAGATCCTCGTGGTTTGTTTGGGGTATGTGTCCCCTGTGGTTGGCCTAGGACGCGGTTGCTCCGTAGTGACCGTGGGACTCGTTTTCCCGATTGCTTGATTCCGGTTCGCTGGTGTTGACCTTGGATTCGTGTTCTCCGAAGTGTGCCGTTGCTTCGTATTCGTTGCGATTGGTTTGGGTGTCAAGTGCTGCGTTGCGTTATTGGGTGCCGTGTGGGTTGTGGTAGGTCGTGGACGTAGGTTCTTTGCGATTTGTTGGGGTTTCTGGCATCGGGGTTCGGCGTCTTGTACGTGGATGGTAGAAAGCACGGGTTCAGTGGGCATGGGGTGACGGTCTCGTAGCTGTAGCAGCGTGGATCCGCATTGGATCGTCGTTTCGGTGGCACCTAGGATGTCCATGCTGACAATGACTTGTCCCAACATGTTTGGCAGGACCAGGAGCGGGATTTGAACCTCTCGTTGATCCAGCTTGATGTGCGCCAGTAGAACTTATGAGATCTCTCTGACCGAGCCATCGGCCAGGCGTATGCGGACGCATGCATCTTGCAGGTTGGTGTTGTTGTCCAGTTGTCGGGCGAGGTTTGCGCTGATAAAGCTTCTGGATGCCCCGGTGTCGATTGTGGCTTCCGTTGCGTATCCTCCTATGCTTACCATCGCCACTATCCGGCCGTTGCTTACGTGTAGAGAGTTATTTAGTCGCGGGTTGGAGGAGGCGTCGTTCCCGGCTGATCCCGTGTCAGTTGGGGACGCATGTCGTTTCCCGACGTGTTCTGGCGGCAGCAATCGACGGTCCGTGTTCCGTGGTTTCCACATTCCCAGCAGAATAGGATGGAGGGATTAGTCGTATGCCGCATGCCCCGCTTCACCACACCGGCGACAGGCTGCGAGTGGGTTGGTGATAGGGGTCGTGATCATGTGATGGGCTACGTCGGGATTCGCCGTACTGTTTGGATGAGCTGGTGGTCTCCCTGGTGTGTCTGTCGATTCCCAATGGGGACTCAGAAATGGCGTCTGTTGCAAGTCGCAATTCCTCTGCTCTGAAGCCGGCCTTGCGTATCTTGGAGTGTTCCGCGGGGGTGCGAAAGTGGTCGGGATAGTCCGCTCTTGGATGCTCTCGAACTCGGTGGCCAATATTGTGAGCTATGCTAAGCTTTGTAGTTCGTGTCGCCGCACGTACATCTGGTATGCTGGCAGGGCGTTATCGAAGATCCTGTTCAGTTCCTTGGCTGCGTCGTACCTGGCGTGGTGCATGAGTAAACGTATCTCGATGAGGTAATCCTTAAACAATTCTTCTACCGCTTGCTTGCGGGCCCGGATTCGGTCTTCCAATTGTTCAAAATACCGTGGCGGCAAGAAGAAAGTCAAGAATTCTTGGCGGAAATATGCCCATGAGCTGCCTTGTAGTTGGCTGGTGCGGTACCAGCGGCTGGCCCGATCGGTAAGAAGCTCTGTCATGGCCCGAGGTAGCTGATTTGTGTCCACCCCATATGAGAGCGCACGTTCTTCGAGTAGTTCCAGAAATGTTAGTGGGTCGTCCTGTCCGTCGAACCTGATTCCCCATTTCCGAATCTGTTCCGCGATGTGGGTTGTGTGGCTGTGGTGGCGTCCATCTATGGAAGAGTCCATGGCTGGCACGATTCTCTGTGTGGGCGAGCGGCTGGTCTCCGTAACTGGAGGTCTGGGCAAATCGGCTGGCGTTACGATGCGTGGTGGGCCAGGTGTGCTGTATTCGGCCGCGGTGGGGACTTGTAACCCGGCTTTTGGGTCAGTTTTCCGCTGGTCAGATGTCCTAGGAGTGGTGGGCATGGGTGATCTGGAGCGTCCCGCTGGTTTGGCGTATTGCCGGACGAGGTCTCCTGATCGCACCCAGGCGTCCTGCGAGAGTGTCCCGGCGACTAATGCGGCGAATCTCTTTCGTCGTTCCTCGACTGTTCCTTCGTTTCCAAATCCGAATTCCTCGGCAAGGGCTTCCAGTTCGTCCCGACGGAGTTTGTAGATTGTACTGGTGGTTACCCCGGGATTGGTATGGTGTCCCTCAGGGAAGAATTCATCGGGTTGGCCGTCTCCGTGGGCTTTCATGGTGTGTTTCTGCGGCTAGTAGCACTGACTTACGTTGTGTTGGTGGTACTTCTGTACTGTAGCAATTTTGCATGCGACCGGATTTTGCGAGGGTGCCGGTTTTTGTGCTGGACGGTTAGTGATCCTTGCTAGCCTAGTCTCTTTCGGTGGCCGTGGGTCTTTACTCCACAAAGCTCCGTATTAAGGTGTTAGTTTTCCTTAAAGTCACCAAAAAGTCCCTGCTCGGGCGCCACTTGTGAGGTCCTATTTCAGGCTGAGGTATGCATCAGTCTGTCCAGGGTCCGCTACAAGAAAATTTTTAGATTGTAAGTGACTTCAGGTGTCGGGCTGGCTTGAAAAATGCAGTAGGCAAGCGAGAAATGATGATGCGAGGTTTGCTGGTTTCTTGGTTTTATTCAGTATTCTTTTTCATTCAATTTAATTCTTTTACGTGGCTACTCTGACTCGTAGTTGAATAGTGCGCTGGTGGACTGCGTAGTGCAGTGTCTTGGGTGTGGGACTGAGGGACTGCCTAGTGCAGTGTCTTGTGTTTGGGCTGATGGACTGCCTGCTCTTTCGGCCGATCTTGGCCCTTTTATGCAGCTGGCGATCGCACCTGAGACCCGGAAATAATTGCTTATTGCTAACTTATGATTATTGGTGACAATAATTGTGGGGCGTGGTAACTGGGTCGAAGCTTGGTGCTTCGTTGACAATTGTTAGTGGGTCAGTGTGTTTTGATGAGAGTGTTTTGCTGAGACTGCATCGCGGAAGGTGTTGGCTGCAGTTGGGAATTGGGTTTAGGATTGATTTTGCTAACTCGACCTGGCGGAGGGTGCT